TTGGTGTTGGGTGGCTGCACAGCGGACCGTGCCCCACCCACGTACTTCCCCCTCACCCACCGCCGCCTGCATCGTTTGCCTTGGCGCGCGGTTTGGGTTGAGATGGTGTGAAGATACGGCGTCCCGCATTAGGCGGGGGAACGAACGAACACACACACACACACCACACACACACACACACACACTCACGCCTTAGACACGATGCTGAATCCTTTTTGGACATGTACACATGAATGGTTGAGACGCGACTCAAGTACTGTCGGTTATACTGGGTAGACACGTCAGACACGCTTGCGATCAAGAAGCGATGTAGCTATTCTGGCACAGGGTCTACGCGAGAACGCTTTCGACACGCGAGCATGTCTAGCGCGTTCTCGCGAAAATCCTGTGCCAGAATCGCGCCCCCTCTGCAGCCAGAGCGCGTGAGACACGCCGCGCGTTTAGATTATTCAGACGCCCTTTTTCCAGGGGGGGCATCCCAGCGGGTGGGGGCAGGGGTCAGCGATGTTGCTGACGGTGGTGGTGTTACTGATGTTGCTGGCGTTGCTGCTGGCTTTGCTGGAGCTGCCGTGCTGCTACTACTGCTGGCGCTATTGCCGCAGCCCCCATTGCTGCAGCCGCCAGCTCACGGTTTCAAATTCGGTTCGATCCTTTCTTACCTGCAGGGAAGTTGCTTTGCGGTTTGGATTTTGATTTCGATCGTTCGATTATGGCGCAGCGTTCTCGGTTTAAGTTCTGGACGGAGGGCCAGGCGGGATTCCGATCTTGGTCCGATCCAGTGCGCGTCGGGTTTTTCTGATTGTGTCCGGTCCGGTGTTTGGCCGATTCGATTTCGGGTTGTCGATCCGATCGGCGGTGTGCGTTGAAAATTGTCATCAGCCAGTAGAATTCGAGCCCATGTATTTCGCCCACTTTGTTACAGATCGAGACGCCTCTGAAACTTGTTTGCGCTTGCGCTGAGGTGCACGGTGCCGTCTAAACCCTACAGGTTGTCCATACTGTCTGGAGTGGCTCTGTGATACGTCCTTCCAACTTTAAACGCAATGGCGGGCTGCACATACATGACTAGGCATGGTACAGCGTGCACCCGTGAACGATCCCTGCTTTTTGGTTTTCGTAGTGTAGCGACTTGCACTTTTGATAACAATTTTCTGTTTGCCAGATCTGGTTCTGATCATTTCTACCACTTGCACCTGCACGAGCTGAGAACGTGGTTCCGTGCTTGATTGAGTACAGCTCCTCTTGTTGCCCAGTCCACAAATATTGCTGACACAACCGGTTCTGCTGCGTACGCGGCATCGAATATTGGACCTGCATTTGAAGTTGCGTCGCTGGTGGTCCGTTAGGGAAGAACGCTAAATTGTGTAGACTTGATGCATTCCTCCGCCCAGCCCTCTTAAATACGTTTTTGTAACATTCGAGCCTACGTGTTGCATACCACTGTTTATTGGGAAACGGTAGGTTTATGTTGCCACTTTCGAGTAACATTGCACATATGCAGCGTCCCTTACCAGCTGTGTCCGGCAATTCCGCCACCTTTGCCAGCGCAGTATTTTGGGTGGCAACTACTCGAGAACGCAATGGGGGGCTACTCGGGACTCTTGGGGCAGTAGGCTCGTATTCTTGGTTTGTGTTCCCACTCTTGGGCCCTTCGTTCGGCCGTCTTGGGGTCCTCTTGGGCAGTCTTGTGCGCCTCATGAGGCGTCTTGGAACCCTCTTGGGCCGTCTTGGAGCTCTCTTGGGGGCATCTTGAGCCGTCTCGAGGGAGTCTAGGGGGCCTCGTGGGCCGTCTTGGAGCGTCGGAAGCTCGAAAAGGCGAGAATCCCAAAAACATTGAACTATGGGGCATCAATGGTTTGTGCCTTTCGGGGCCCTCTTGGAGGCCTCTTGAGACCTCTTTTGACCCTCCTGGGGCCTCCTGAGTCCTCTTGGGGCGGAAGGCTCAGATTATCGGTTCGTGTTCACACTTGGGCCCTTCTTGGGGCCGTCTTGGGGCACTCTTGGGCATTCTTAGGCGCCTCTGGGGTAGTCTTGGAGCCCTCTTGGGCCGTGTTGGGGGCGTCCTGCCGCGTCTTGGGGCAGTCCTGGTTGCCTCTTCGGCTGTTTTGCGACGTCGGAAGCTCGAAAACACGAGAACCCGAACAGCACACGAAGACTTATAAGGCAACTCGATGGCATCTGCCCCTCGGGGCTCTCTCGGGAAGGCTATTGGGGCTCTCCTGGGACGCCTCGACGGCCTCGTGGGCCGAGGAGGAGGAGGAGGAGGAGGAGGAGGAGGAGGAGGAGGAGGAGGAGGAGGAGGCCGTCTTGGGGCCCAAGTGGCCCGTCCTGGACGGTACTGGGCAGGATATTGGAGGCCTCCAGGTCCTCGTCGGGGGCGCGACGCCGTCGTGCCTCGGGCAGGGGGGCCGGTGCACGCCGGGGGGTGCGGCCCCCGACGCCGGGGACGCGTCTGGGCGCCGGCAGAGTCTCGGAAGGGGCTGGCGGCGGGCGCAGGTCGGGTATGGCCAGGATTAAGTCGGGCGTGCCCCCCTACGGGGGGATGTTCGACGAAAAATAAAAAATTAAAAATGCACCAAAAAGGTAAACATATATTCAAAAAATAGTCACCAAACCAATTTTTGATTTTTCTTCAATTATTTTTGAAGTATTTTTTTTTTTCGTCGAAAATCCCCCTGTAGGGGGACAGGCCCGACTTAAGGCCAGGACCCCAGGTAAGGGGACCCGGTTAGTGGTAGGGCCCCGGAGCCTTCGAAGTGGCCAGAAGCACTGAGCCAGGTCTGCCATGGCTGGTGTTTTTTCGGGTGGCGGCAGTTCCGGCGAGTGGAGATGGGACGGGGGGGGGCGCCCCCGGTACAGATCTGCCAACCCAGTTCTGCCAACGCCCGAGCACGGGGGACGCGGCGAGCGGGGGGGGGTCCCTTAGAAGATTGCACGCGTCCTTCCAGGCAAGGCAGCACTTTGTATGCTGCCACGCCTCAACGTGTCAGGGGGCACGGTGTAGCGGATGCGGGTGAGCGTTTTTGGTGACAGCATTGCACAAAAAGGGGATGTAGGGAATAGCATGCGTTTTCCGATTAACGAAGGGATTTTCACAACTACGGATGTGTTCCATCAGTTCCAAGTGCATTTGCGATTACGATCCCCCGTCATGCGTTTCGCATGTTTCGCAGTGTGAAGCCGTGTGTGTTTTGAGTTGCTAGGTCTTACATGCATGTTGTTTCCCATATTTGATCTTACCGGGGAACTGGGCAGCTGGCTTATACTTCGATATATGGCCGCTCTTTACGGTGTTCCCTTCAGCATTGGTGTATGCAACTTTTTGTTGTTGGTGCCTCCCACGATCCCCCAACAAAGGTAGATTCCAGCCATATTCGGTTGTCTTGTTGCGCTGCTGTCTGTATTGCTTGACTTCGTATATTTGATTTGCAGATGCTAACCTTTCCTGCTCGATCGCCCGACGCGACTGAAGCAATAGTGGATCCCGATATCCATGATTGAGGGCGCATTGCAATCTTGGAGGCGTCACGCATTGCCTCTTTAAGATTCCTAGCTGCTTGGTCCAATGAGTCTGGCGTGGGTGACATCAGAATGACATCGACACATGTTGTCCAATCTGCATCTCCCATTGTTGGCTGCCCTCGACATGACAGCTGGTGCCGCACCTACTTGTGAGCGAATGTGCTGAGTTCAGTTCGGCCGCGCAGCGACTTTAGGAGCACAGCCGACTGTACCCCGTGCGCGCATAGGACACTCATCGTATGTGGACATCTGCTGCACCGAAGGGGGAATCCAGGAATGTGCGGGAAAGCTGTCAATGACTGTGCGCGGGAATTCGTGAACAGAAGTACTGCCAACATGTTGAAATCAGGCCACTTGGAGCTCAGGAGGGGCTCTGGTTTTCGGACCGTTCCCCGGATGTAGGTCGTGGAACCTCTTCGTGGCCGAGGTCCGTCGTGGCCACACTCGCTTACTCTTCGCTCCGCATGACTGCACTGAAATTTGCCAAAGATATTGGGGATAAGGCACCACTCCCACCAAACAGAGCAGAACTGAATCGACCACGTACGGGCGAGGCCTGCTGCGACGAAGCACGGCCCCGACCACTACGATGTTGCAACTGCCACCGTCTAGGCAGAACTCAGCCCTGCGAGTGAGCTTGACGATGCTCTTCAGTCGTTCTTCGGTTTCCACGTAAGGACCAGGAAGACGTACGACGAAGGCGTCGAGGCATGAGCTCCGACCGTGTGGGCGGCAGGCCGTGCTTTCCGACAGAGCCCCGGCCGCAGACATTGCGTTCTGGAAGACAGGCAGTAGTAGTGGAACGAAGCAGGAGGGGAGGAGGATGAAGGGGTGGCTGACTTCCGTTTTCACGCCCTCGGCCTGCTGAGATGGAGGAGGGGGAAGACGAGGAAGAGGAGGAGGAGGAGGAGGAGGATCAGCGTCAAGGAGGAGAAAGAGGAGAAAGCGGAAGAAGTATTCCCAGATAGTTCCTCAGAGAGATTCGAGGGTTTCAGGGTGGAAGTGGGCAACACAGGGTAGGCCAGCTCCTATCCACGGCTCCCGTGCAGGCATCCCCGCAGCAACTCTTGTAAACTCGCTGCGGGTCCTGAAAGCGTTTCCCCACTCGCTTCCAATACGTTTCCGGGAAGCCTTTCCGTAGCTCCTTCGAAGCTCCCAGGGAGCTCTTTCGAAGCTCCTTTTCTCGAGCTTGCAAGTTCCCCAGACATGATTTCAAGCGTCCTTGCAAGCGTCTCTCTAGGCTCCTCACGCGCTTTGGACTGTCCCCGCGATCCAGATCTTTGACGCCACAAGTTCAAGTCGGATCTTGAGACCTCTACCTAAAAAGGGTAGGAAGTGTGTCGTCCAAGTTCCACACGTTTTGACAGCTCCTCGAGCTTTGCACGCGCAAAGCTGCAAGATCATCCGCATTGATGTCTCCAGGAACCCAGCTAGATAGCTAACCAGCAACCCAAAGATATTTTTTCTCGTGGCCATGATGGTTCCAGGGCACCATAATTCAAGGACGCCGGGTGAGGTTTCGCAACCTTCTTCACATCGGCCAGTCATTAGAAGCGCGTCGCGACCATGGGGATGGCATTCACAAAGCTCTTCGCCAAGCTGATCGGCAAGCAGGAGATGCGCATCCTGATGGTGGGCCTCGACGCCGCTGGCAAGACTACCATCCTGTACAAACTGAAGCTCGGCGAGGTTGTCACGACGATCCCGACGATCGGGTTTAATGTGGAGACGGTCGAATACAAGAACATCAGTTTCACCGTGTGGGATGTCGGTGGCCAGGACAAGATCCGCCCGTTGTGGCGCCACTACTACCAGGGCACACAGGGCCTCATCTTCGTTGTTGACAGCAACGACCGTGACCGCGCGGAGGACGCGCGTGAAGAGCTCATGAAGATGTTGAACGAGGACGAAATGCGCGATGCCGTGCTGCTTGTCTTCGCAAACAAGCAGGACCTCCCGAACGCGATGCCGGCGGCAGAAGTCACCGAAAAGTTGGGCCTCCACAACATGCGCAATCGCCAATGGTTCATCCAGTCGGCCTGCGCCACGACCGGCGACGGCCTCTACGAGGGCCTGGATTGGATGTCGCGCACGCTCTCCTCCAAGAAGTGAAGGACGAGCGCCCGGATCGGACAATGGCCAGCAGTTTCGGGGCTGGACAGAACCCCCAACAGTGACACGTCGATCAGTGAATGGTCCGTTTTCGGTTCTCGAGAGGGCGCCGTGGCCCTCATTTTCCAGGCTCGCGCCCGCCAGGTTTGGGCCTCAGGTCGTTTTCACTAGACCACGTTTTGCTAAAGGGAGGTCTGTCCATCCCGAGGTGAAGAATAGGGCCCCAACTGGGCCCCCCTCTGGGGCCCCTGCCGGCTCCACGTGGGGGCCCCAAACGGCTCCTTCGGGTTTCTCCTCACCCTCCTCCTCCTCCTCCTCCTCCTCCTCCTCCTCCTCCTGACAGTGGCGTCGCCTGCCGGCGCACGGGCCGCTCCGTCGACGCGGGGGACGGCGTACGCCCCAGGGTGTTTGTTCCTCCTGCGGGCGCAGCGTCGAGGCCTTTGCAGCTCTGCCCGTGCGGCGGAGAGGGGCCGAGGCCATGCGTCGCGCTCGACTGCACTCTTGCCCCCCACCCTCTTCTTCCCTTCCAGGAGGGGGAGATAACACACACAGACACACTTCATCGTCCACTCCCAGGAAAATATGATAAAAAAATATCGAAAGTGGGGGAGAACACAAAACCCAGAAACCAGGGGAAGATATGTGGAATCCTGTTATTTGTGCGTGTGTGTGTTTATTTGTGTGTCCCAGGGCCTACTCATTCTTTTCAGGAAATATATTCTTGGGGGCACGAGCACAACAAGTGCGCCGCCAAGATGAAACATTTTGGGGCGGGGGTGCCGTAGGGCCTTTTTCGCGGGATGTCTCCGGCCAAGCCGACGAGACCGTCCATTGTTGGTAGGTTTCTACACGTATTTTGGAAACGTGGATGCCGTATGTCATGTATCCGATCCCCTTCCGGGAGTGGTTGAGTTTTGCCTCATTTTGGAAAATCCCAAACCGTTCTATTTCGGGCGCGTTTTCGGGCTCGTTTTTAGCAGCCGTGCCCCTGGGAATATCACTTGCTACTCTTGCCCCACCCTCCTTCTTTCCCTCCCTCACTTCGTCCATCCCTGCCCCTGCTCGCAGGATTGCGAGATCATCCTGCCATGCTCCTAGTCGAGACTGGTCCAAATTTGATCCTGCATGGGTCACAGTATGCACCTTCTGCTGTGGTGGCCACGGTACGGTCCGTAGATAAAATGATCCAGACCTTGTTTCTCTAATGGAGGGCGCCATCGAGGTTCCACAGCCACCTGGACGCTGGTAGGCTCCGATGGAGTACCCCTTTCGCCACCACCACCTCCCGATTCCGTCGACTTCTTCCGCCAGCCTCCACCACCTCCCTCTCTCCTTCCCTCCCCTCCCAGTTTCATCCTCTCGCCAGCGTTTGTGAAGCTCTGCCGATGCGGGCCGCAACGTATTTCATTTGTTTGCGCTGTATTGCATCGAATGTCATCGCATCGTACTACATGCCGTTGCATTGTATTGCTTTGCGTTGAGATGCACCAGATTGCGTTGGATTGCATTGCGATCAATTGAACTTGATTCCTTTTGGTGGCGTCCCATTGCTTTGTTGCATTGTGTTTCACGCTGACGCAATTCACAGCACTGAATTGAATGTGAATGTGCATTCGGCTGCATTGCGCTTGAACCAGGGAAGGGGATCAGGAATACGTAGCACCCCGAAATTGCGGATAAGAGTGAGGGGGCGGGCGCGGGCGATGCGGGCGCGGGAGTGGAAGGAATTCAAGAACAGCCCGCCGCAGGCGCCGAACATTTTGATTAGTACACTGAACGCGGTTTGGGTCGCAGGTTCTCCACCTGGAGCGAATGCAAAAGAAACCCGCCGCAGGCGCCGAAGTTTTTGAAAGTTCAGTGAAAGTAGTTAGGGTCGCGGGTGGGTCGCGGGCTCTCCACCTCCACATGGAAGGAATTAAAAAACAGCCCGCCGCAGGCGCCGAAAATTTTGATTTGTACACTGAACGCGGTTTGGGTCTCGGGTGGGTCGCAGGTTCTCCACCTGGAACGAATGCAAAAGAAGCCCGCCGCAGGCGCCGAAAATTTTGGGTGGGTCGCGGGTGGGTCGCGGGTGGGTCGCCGGTGGGTCGCGGGTGGGTCGCCGGGGGGGTCTCGGGGTAGGTCGCGGGTGGATCGCGGGGTGGGGCGTGGGTGGGGCGCGGGTGGGTCGCGGGTGGGTCACGGGGTGGGTCGCGGGTGGGTCGCGGGGTGGGTCGCGGGTGGGTCGCGGGTGGGTCGCGGGGTGGGTCGCAGGTGGGTCGCGGGGCGGGTCACGGGTGGGACGACGACAACAACAAACAACAAACATCAAACAACGAACATCAAACAACAAACAACACACAACAATTTACAAACAACAAACAACAAACAACCAACATTATACAACAAACAGCAAGCAACAAACAACAAACAACACACTAATAAGCTAACAAACAACAAACAACAAACAACAAACAAACAAACAACAAACATCAAACACCACACAACAAACAACCTCACAACAGACAACAATCAACAAACACCAAACAACAAACAACAAACAACAACAACAATACTTTTAAGACTGTTCGCCATTATATGCTCGAGTCTCCAATAACGCGTATTTCCCAAACCCTCGATACCCGCCCTCTTCTTCTTCGATCGAACCCCTTTTGGGGGGTATACCTTTCTTCCCTGCAGGCCGGGCCCCGGCAAGCGGCGGGGCGGCCGCGGACCGTCGGCCTGGCCAGCGGCAGCGCTGATCGGCGGGGCGGCCGCGGACCGTCGACCCGACCCCAAGAGGGACGGACAGGGGACCGACCACGACGACGACGACGACGACGACGACGACGACGACGACGTCGACGACGACGACGACGGCGACGACGAGCGAAAGCGAAAGCGAGAGAGAACGACAGCAGGGCCACGAAGGGCACGAAGTAGGCCACGAAGGGCGACAGCGGGGACACGAAGGGAATGCGTATGGGGCCAAGAAGAGCGCGAACGAGCGGGGGCCACGAAATGCAGATAATGCGGGGCCACAGAAGGCAACTATGGGGCCACTGAGGGTAGCAACTGGGCCACGTAGGACAGTGAGGGGGACACAAATGGCGACAGCGGGGCCGCGAAAGGCATGCACATGGGGCCACAACGGGCGCGATTCCTGAGTGCCTGGGTGTCGGGGGCGCGGCGCTTGGGCAAATTGCCGGAAATCCCAACGCAAGGCGATTCTTCAGTAAGTTGCAAGCAAGTCTCCAGCGAGAGCGCGACTCCAGAGCGCCGGGAGAGCGATTCCTGAATAAATTGTAATGAAGTCCCACGCGAGAGCGCGATTCCTGAATAAAATGCGAGGAGGTCTCGGGCGGGAGCGGGGGTCCTGGCTAAATTGCGAGGAAGTCTCACGCGGGAGCCGTTGTTGTTGTAACCCGGGGGCCAGGAGCAGGAAGATTTGCCCTGTCAAAAAACAGGGTGCGAGCGGCGAGGGGCACATTTTGATTGAGAAAAACAGTTTGCACCGGTGAGGGGGGATCAACAATAATTATTCTTCAGAAGTGAGAATTTAACTGCAACAACGACACTAATTTTACGACTGTTCGCCTTTATCTGCTCGTGTGTCCAATAACGCCTATTTCCCAAACCCTCGATACCCGCCCTCTTCGTCTTCGACCAAGCCCCTTTCGGGGGGTATACCTTTCTTCCCTGCAGGCCAGGCCCTAGCAAGCGGTGGGGCGGCCGCGGACCGTCGGCCTGGCCAGCGGCAGCGCTGATCGGCGGGGCGGCCGCGGACCGACCCGACCCCAAGAGGGACGGACAGGGGACCGACCACGACGACGACGACGAGGACGACGACAACGACGACGACGACGACGACGACGACGGCGACGACGACGACGACGACGAGCGAAAGCGAGAGCGAAAGAAAACGACAGCAGGGCCACAAGGACACGAAGTAGGCCACGAAGTAGGCCACGAGGGGCAACAGCGGGGACACGAAGGGAATGCGTATGGGGCCACGAAAAGCGCGAACGAGCGGGGGCCAAGAAGGGCAGATAATGCGGGGCCACAGAAGGCAACGATGGGGCCACTGAGGGTAGCAACTGGGCCACGTAGGACAGATGCATATGGGGCCACCACGGGCGCGAACGAGCGGGGGCCACGAAGGGCATACATATAATTATGGGGCCACGAAGGGCAGCGAAGGGGCCACGAAGGGATGCAACGGGGCCACGAAGGGCAGCGAGGGGGCCACGAAGGGCTGCAATGGGGCCACGAAGGGCTGCAACGGGGCCACGAAGGGCAGCGAGGGGGCCACGAAGGGCTGCAACGGGGTCTCGAAACAAAGCGAGGGGGCCACGAAGGACTGCAACGGGGCCACGAAGGGCAGCGAGGAGGCCACGAGGGGCTGCAACGGGGCCACGAAGGGCAGCGAGTGGGCCACGAAGGGCTGCAACGGGGCCACGAAGGGCAGCGAGTGGGCCACGAAGGGCTGCATCGGGGCCACGAAGGGCAGCGAGATCCCGATTCCTATGTAATCTGTGAGGAAGTCCTAAGCGTGAGCGTGACTCCTGGGTGCCTGGGTGTCGGGAGCGCGGCGCTTCAGTAAATTGCAGGAAATTCCATCGCAAGGGCGCTATTCTTTAGTACATTGCAAGCAAGTCTCCAGCGAGAGCGCGACTCCAGAGCGCCTGAATAAAACGCGAGGAAGTCTCGGGCGGGAGCGGGGGTCCCGGCTAAATTGTGAGGAAGTCTCAGGCGGGAGCCGCTGTTGTTGCAAACCGGGGGCCAACGACACAGTTTGACGCTCAAGATTTTCCCTGATAAAAACAGGGTGCGAGCCCCGGGAAGGGCACTTCAATCGAAAAAAACATGTGCACCGGACGGGGGGATCAACAATAATTATTTTTCACAAGTGAGAGCTTAACAACACCACCAACAACAATAATCCGCATCGCGGAATTCCACTACAGCCACGCACCCAGGGACAGTGAATGACCGTTCGGTTCAGCCCCCTCATTCTGATTTGTACACTGAACGCTGTTTGGGTCGCGGGTGGGTCGCAGGTTCTCCACCTGGAAAGAATGCAAAAGTAGCCCGCCGCAGGCGCCGAAAATTTTAGGTGGGTCGCGGGTGGGTCGCGGGTGGGTCGCGGGTGGGTCGCGGGTGGGTCGCGGGGTGGGTCACGGGTGGGTCGCGGGTGGGTCGCCGGTGGGTCGCGGGTGGGTCGCCGGGGGGGTCTCGGGGTGGGTCGCGGGCGGGTCGCGGGTGGGTCGCGGGGTGGGTCGCGGGTGGGTCGCGGGGTGGGTCGCGGGTGAGTCGCGGGTGGGTCGCGGGTGGGTCGCAGGGTGGGTCGCGGGTGGGACGACGACAACAACAGCAAACAACGAACAACAAACAACAGACAATAACAACAGCAACAACAACAACACTAATACTCCGCATCGCGAAATTTCACTTCAGCCACGCACCCAGGGACAGTGAATGACCGTTCGGTTCAGCCCCCTCATTCTGATGTGTGTTCGGTGCTGGGCCCTGCTTGGTATTGGATTGCATTGCTTTGAGTTGTATAGCAATACTGCGCGTTGCATTATACTGCTTTGCTGGTCATTGTGTCAATTCTTCTTGCGCGGCATTGCACTGAACCCACTTGCATGTGTGTTGCGTTGCACTTTAGTGCTTTGCACATTGTTCTGTCTATCACGCCTTCGCAACGCATTGAAATGCATTGGCCGTCACTTAAGTTGAGCCGTCTCGCGTCATTGTTGTACATTGCTTGGCGTTGTGTTAAACATGATTGCAGTGTTGTCGTCGGATTGCTTCGCACTGCACTTGTTTTGTATCACCGCCAGCAGGTGGAACGCCAGTGGCAGCACTCGTCATAACACAAGCAGTACAACGGTTCACACCTCGCCGTCATGAGTAAAGAACGCAATCGCCATGACAGGCACCATCACCACCACGAGCGCAATCAGAAGCACAGCACCACACCATCACCGCCAACATCACCACCACCGAAGCGAAACCAGCGATTAGGTCGACCTCTAGTGAGCACGTGTGTGTATATATATATATACACAATACATGTGTACATATATGCATCTGCAGATATACACATGCATGCATACAGGCAGACAAGCAAACACGCGTAACTACATACATCCATGCATGCATGCATACATACAAACATAAATGAACCCCTGCATACACATACACACATGCCTGCCTGCATGCATGCATGCATGCGTACATACATACATACACACGTGTATGTATGTATGCATGTATGCATGTATTCATGTATGCATGCATGTATGTATGTATGTATGCATGTATGTATGTATGTATATATGTATGTATGTATGTAGACACACGTATACATAACTACCTATACGACCACCCTGCGGGTGATAAGGAGGTGAGGGGGGAGGGGGAACCAACGTCTCACTCAATCGATCTCGCTATCGATCTCACATTCGGTCTCACAATCGATCTCACATTCGGTCTCACATTCGGTCTCACATCGGGACACCATCATCATCATCGACATCATCATCATCAACGTCATCATCATCATCATCATCATCATCATCGGGACACCATCATCATCAACATCATCATCATCATCATCATCACCATCATCAACATCATCATCAACATCCTCGTCATCGGGACACCATCTTCATCAACATCATCAACGTCAGCATCATCACCACCATCATCATCACCATCATCACCATCATCACCATCATCACCATCATCATCTCACAGTCGATCTGACTATCGATCTCACAATCGATCTCACTATCGATCTCACAATCGATCTCACATTCGGTCTCACTACCTATATCACAATCCATCTCGCAATCGACGTCATCATCATCATCAACATCAACATCAACACCATCAACATCATCATCATCATCATCATCATCATCGCCATCATCAACATCATCATCATCATTACCATCATCATCATCACCATCATCATCATCATCATCATCATCATCATCATAATCATCATCATCATCATCATCATCATCATCATCAACATCATGATCGGGACACCGACGGGACACCGGCGGGACACCGGCGGGACACCGCGCGCCACCGGCCGCCCGGTGGAGAATCATTTGGTCTGGCCGCGCCTCAGCCACAGAGGACACCACCGGGACACCGGCGGGACACCGCGCGCCACCGGCCGCCCGGTGGAGAATCATTTGGTCTGGCCGCGCCTCAGCCACAGGAGACTTTCTTCTCGCCCGCCCACGCAGCTTCGCCTCGCCCGCACGCACGGCACGCGCGAACACGAAACCGAAAGCGATTTCCCGGTAGGGGGGCTCTCCGTTCCACTTCGATCTCACCCCCTCACCTCCGATATAATGGCATTCGGCCAATCCTGCCACCGTGCTTGGGTTGTGGGTCGGAGTCCTTAGGGATGATTCTTGGGTTCTCTTCGGAGCGTCTCGGGGGCCTCTTGGGGATAGTTTTGGGGCCTCTTGGGAGCCTCTTGGGGGCCTCTTGGGAGCGTCTTGAGGCTCCCTTGGGGCTTCCTGGATGCCTCTTTGGGGCCCCTTGGGCCTCTCGGGGGCCTCTTGTGGTCCTCTTGATGCATCTCAGGGGCCTCTCGGGGCCGAGGGAGCGAAATGTCAGTTCGGGTCCCCCGTCTGGGCCCCCTTTGGGCGGCCTCCGAGGCCGTCTTGGAGGCCTCTTGGGCCGTCTTGGGGCCTTCGTGGGCCGTTTTGCAGTCCTCTTGGGGCATCTTGGGTATTCTTGAGGCGATATGTGGGGCCTCTTGGGCCGTCTTCGAGCGTCGGCAAGCTGGAATGGCGAGATCGCCCAAATCCTTCAATAGTCAAAAGGAACATCAATGATGTGTGCATCTTCGGGTCCTCCTGGGCGGACACTTGGAGCCGTCTTGGAGCGTCTCGGGGGCATCTTGGGCCGTCTTGAGGCCATCTTGGGCGTCTTGGAGCGATCTTTCGGCGACTCGGGGCCCTCTTGGACCGTCTTGGGGGCCTCTTGGGGCCATCTTGGCTTCGTCTTGGGGCCCTCGTGGGCCCGAAAAGGTCATGCGAGACGACGCCCCGCGGGCCCCAGAAGCCACGCGGCGCGCCCCAGGAGATTGAGCAATTTTGGGTCCGGGCCCTGCAGAGATTCCTCAGGATTGAGGACTGAGGCTCCAGGGGGGTCGAGCAAAGGGACCCGAGGACATTCCAACTCGTGCCTCGAGGGCACGGTGGCGGGTGTTGAAATATTCTAAGTAGGAGCAGGGTGGCCTACATTCTCAAGTCGACTGGGTGGTCCCGCGTTCTCCCGAGCTTCCTCACATGACTTTTACAGAGGCCGGAGAGCCTCTATGACAGGCCAAGTTTGTCCCAAGAGGCCCCTAAGACTGTCCAAGATGGCCAGGAGTCGCCCAAATATTGTTCCAAGACGTCCAAGAATGCGCACAGACGGCCCAAGACGCCCCAAGAGGGCTCCTAGATGCCCTCCAAGAGGGTCCCGAGATGCCCACATTATTGATTCCCCTCATGTTCTGGAGAGATTTGAGTGCTCTCGCCTTTTCGGACGCTCAACGCTCCAACGTGGCCCAAGAGGCCCCCATGATCGCCCGAAGACTGCCCAAGACGCCCCCAAGAGCGCCCCAAGACGTCCCAAGAGGGCCCCAAGACAGTCCGTAGCCATGTTGGCTCAAGTCAATTATTCGCAAGTTGTCCTGGAGCAAAGTGCATGGCTCGAGGTCGGCAGAGGACCCGTTCTGCAGCTCCTTCGCACGATCATTTTTGCATGCTGCATGAGAGCGAAGCAGATGACGCAGCCAGGGTCCTACTTGCAGCCGCCCTTCAGTATTCAACACACGTGGTTGGCGTCGACATGTCCTCCACCAACGCTGGGTCCATTAGCAGGCGTCTAGGACGATCCATGACGATAGCCTTTTGGTCAGGTCGTCCAGAAATTTTCCAAGAGGACCCATGATGATCCATCGGGAAGCCCGCATTGCTTTACTAGAGACGGTGGGCTTCGATCGCAATACGGTGGTGAAGATGGCGTCGTCCTGCCCTCCAGTGCTTGGCTATGATGTGGAGAGCCGCACTGCCTTGCCAGAAACGGCAGGCTTCCACCGCCAGGCATTGGTGAAGATGGTTTCGTCCTTTCCTCGAGTATCGGGATATGATGTTGAGGGCTGCATTGCCTTACTAGAAGCGGCAGGCGTCGACCGCAAGGCAGTGATGAAGATGGCGTCGCCCTTATCTTCAGTGCTGCGCCTTGATGTGGAAAGTCGCATAGTCGTGCTAGCGGCGGCAGGCTTCGACCGCAAAGCAGTGGTGAAGATGGCGTTGTTCTTTCCTTCAGTTCTTGGCCTTGATGTGGGAACTGCATTGTCTTGCTAGCTGCGGCGGGCTTCAACCGCAAGGCAGTGATTAAGATTGCGTCGTCCGTGCCTCAAGTGCTGCGCCTCGATGTGGAGAGCCGCGTTGCCTTGCTAGTGGCGGCAGGCTTCGACCGCAAGGCAGTGGTGAAGATGACGTCGTCTTTTCTTTCAGCGCTTTGCCTCGATGTGGAGAGCCGCAGTGCATTGCTAGCGGCGGTGGGCTTCGACCGCAAGGCAATGGTGAAGATGACGTCGTCCTTTCCTTAAGTGCTGGGCCTTGATGCGGAGATCCGCAGCGCCCTGCTAGCGGCAGCTGACTTCGACCGCAAGGCAGTGGTGAAGATGGCAATTTTACGCCCTCGAGTGTTGGGGTATGTTGTGGAGGGACCCCTTGCCCTGCTAGGCGCGGCAGGCTTCGACCGCAAGGCAGTGGTGAAGATGGCGTCGTCTTTTCTTTCAGCGCTTTGCCTCGATGTGGAGAGTCGCATTGCATTGCCAGCGGCGGCAGGCTTCGACCGCACATGGTGTCGTCATTTCGTCAAGTGTTGTGCCTTGATGGGGGCCGCATTGCTTCGCTAGCGGCGGCAGGCTTCGACCGCAAGGCAGTGGTGAAGATGACAGCTTCCCGCCCTCGAGTGGTGGGCCTTGACGTGGAGAACCGAACCGAAGTGCCTTGCTAGCTGCGACAGGCTTCGACCGCAACTCAGTGGTGAAGATGGCGTCGTCCTTTCTTCGAGTGTCCCTTTATGTGGAGAGCCGCATTGTATTAATAGCGGCGGCGGGCTTCGATCGCAATACATTGGAAACGATGATGTCGTCCTACCCTCCAGTGTTGGGCTATGATGTGGAGAGCGGCATTGCCTCGCCAGAGACGGCAGGCTTCGACCGCAAGGCAGTGGTGAAGATGGCGTCGTCCTTATCTTCAGTGCTGCGCCTTGATGTGGAGAGTCGCACTGCCTTGCTACCGGCGGCGGGCTTCGACCGCAAGGCAGCGGTGAAGATAGCGTTCTCCTACCATCCAGTGCTGGGAATTGATGTTGAGAGCCGTATTGCCGTGCTAGCCCTGGCAGGCTTCGACCGCAAGGCAGTGATGAAGAGGTCGTCGCCCTTATCCCCAGCGCTGCGCCTTAATGTGGATAGTCGCATTGCCGTGCTAGCTGCGGCAGGCTTCGACCGCAAGGCAGTGGTGAAGATGACGTCGTCCTTTCCTTCAGTGCTGGGCTTTGATGTGGAGAGCCGCATTGCATTGATAGCGGCGGCGGGCTCCGACCGCAAAGCAGAGGTGAAGATGGCGTCGTCATTTTCTCAAGTGCTGCGCCTTGATGTGGAGAGTCGCATTGCCTCGCTAGCGGCGGCAGGCTTCGACCGCAAGGCAGTTGTGAAGATGGCGTCTTCCTTTCTTCAAGTGTTGGGCCTTGAGCTGAAGAGCCGCATTGCCGTGCTAGCTGTGGCAGGCTTCGACCGCAAGGCAGTGGTGAAGATGGCGTCGTCCTCATCTTAAGTGTTGTGCCTTGACGTGGAGAGTCGCACTGCCTTTCTAGCGACGGCGCGCTTCGACCAAGGCAGTTGTTTTGATGGCGTCGTCCTTTCTTTTCCTTCAGTGCTGGGCCTTGATGTGAAGGGCCGCAGTGTCGTGCTAGCGCTGGCGGGCTTCAACCACAAGGCAAGGCAGTAGTGAAGATGGCGTCGTCATTTTCTCAAGTGCTGCGCCTTGATGTGGAGAGCAGCATTGTCTTGCTAGCGGCGGCAGGCTTCGACCGCAAGGCAGTGGTGAAGATGGCGTCGTCCTTATCTTCATTGCTGGGCCTTGATGTGGCGAGCCGGATTGCCTTGTCAGCGGCGGCAGGTTTTGACCGCAAGGCAGTGGTGAAGATGGCGTCGTCCTTTCCTCAGGTGCCGGATCTTGATGCGGAAAAGAAAAACTAGCCGAAGCCGAGTTGTTTGAAAGATGTTCACCTCGATGGCACAAACATCGCGTCGCGCCTGGGATATTTCTCCTATTCGCTAGAAGGCAGGAATCAGCCAAGCCTCATGGAATTGCAACGGCGCGGCAGGCTTCCTCAAGCACTTGGCTCTTTTCGCGGCTTCGCGACGCTACCAGACGCGATGCTTTCCAGACGGGCTGGCGCTGCACGTTGAATCCTGGCGCATTGAAAATCAAAGGTGGCCGTAGAAAAAATGCCCCAAGACGGCACGAGTCCCCCAAGACGGCCCGATAGGATCCCGAGGAGGGCCCAAGAGAGGCCCCAGAGGGGGAACGCCGCCCCAAGATGACCCCGGAGACCGCCAGCAGGCCCCCAAGAGTTCCCCCTCGAGCTCCAGGAGGCCTCCAAGAGGCCCAAATCAGGCCGAGAGGTCCCCAAGGCATTCCAAAACCGAATCCGAGTAGCTTCCGACAGGCCTCCCAAGAGATCCCCACAGGCATCATATTGGCCTCTGACCTGCAACCCGGGCAAGGTGGCGGGATGGGCAGAAGGCCAGTAGGATCCGCCGCCCCACGTGGTCTTGCCACAGGGGTGCACGGCGTGCCAAATATCTGGCAGGTTTTTGGTATGGGGTCTTGGCCAAGCCCGCTGGTCACCCGGATAGCTCCGGGCGACGCCCCTCCCGTCGGTTTCTCCATGTGAGATGACCTCAAGATGGCCTCCTTGACTGCCAAGATGACCCCAAGAGAACCCAAGATGGCGCCGAGATGTCTTCGAGGCGGCCCCAAGATGTTTCAAATGCGGCCAAGATGGCCCAAGAAAACCCAAGACGGCCCAAGAAGCGCCCAAGAGGCCCATAAGACGGCCCAAGAGGCCTCCAAGAGGTTCTCAAGGAAGGCCCGGAGAGGCCCAAATCATTGAGGTCCCCTCGGTGTTTCAAGCATTTTGGCATTTGCTTCACAACGGCCTTCCGACCGCCCAAGACGGCCCAAGAGGCCCCCAAGATTGTCCTAAGATCGCCCCAGAGGCCTCCCAGATTGCACTTGGACGGCCCAAGAGGCTCCCAAGACGGCTTCCAATGGGTCCGAAGACGACCCGCGAAGCTCCCAAGACGCCCAAGACGGCCTTCAAGATGGCACTGAAGACCCCCAAGAGAGGGCCAAGACGGCCCAGAGAGGCTCCCAAGATCGCTTCCGACGGCGTCAGACGAGCTGGGAACGCCGCAAGACTGCCAACGAGGCCCCAAAGAAGCCACTCAGAGGCCCAAAAGAGGCCCCCAAGAGGCCTCCAAGAGGCCTGCAGGAACCCCCCAGGAGGCCCCAATAATGACCCAAGAAGCTTTCAATAAGTCTCCTCATTCTTCTCCTCATCCTCCTTTTTTGCTGCCTCTACTGATCATCCTCGTCCTTCCCCTTCCGAAGGGCTCCCACAACGGCAAGGGGAACGCATGATCCAATATCGTGGCCAGTCTTTGCCTAAACGTTTGGCCACAGGTGATTCGCCGTGGGCGTCTTCGATGCACGTCCGCATGCTCGCAAAGTTAGTGTCATCGTAGCTCTGCAGCGCCGACATTATGGCTGCACCAACCTGGGCTGTACCATCACTGTGGCCACATCGAATATACAACGTAGGTGTATCTGATTTGCGTGCCACACCTACTACATCCCGCGGAAATTGATTACTGTTGATTCCTGCATGGATCATTATCTAGATTTGCGCACGCCACAACTTGCACAGGGGGGTCACAGTTGCTAGATTCAGTGGCGTTGCCACGCGCTTCTGCCACCGTTTTGTGGAGGTGTAGTGTGAGGGGGGAGGAGGCGAGCGGACGTTTCCATTTGATCGTTTTCAACTTATGATGTCTTGTGAGACCAAACCTGGAACTCAAATCTAACGTGCGTTGCCTTCGATGTGATAAGGGGGCAGCGCTAAAATAAACAACTTCCCGTAGCGCAGCCAGCCAGCGGATTTGTGAGAGCCGCTGTATGTAGGGGGTGACAAGGGGGCGAGAACCAAAGGGGGCGCTATTTGCCCCTACATAGGCGGCTCGGTTAGAGGTCCGTCTGATTTGGGGCGCTCCAGAAAGATGCGGTACATCCGAGGAGCCAAATGAGTTGACGTTTCTACCACAGCGGCAGGCGGCGGCATGACAACTCGGGCGACGCCGCTGGCGAAGCCGGCGGAAGACGGCGGAAGTGTAAATCGGCCTTCCGAGAGATGGCATCAAGCAGTGGCGAAGCGTTTTGGCGTGTCTATAGGGCTACCAATCAATGTCCTAAGAGCATGTGTGTTTTCCACGAAATGTTCTTAGAACATTTTTGGCTGGGACTTTCTCGTTTTAACACATCGGGTTTATGTTCTAAGAACAGTGTTTTCGTTCTTAGAACATATCTGGGTTCTAAGAACATGTCGTGGTAGGCCTATAAGAATGCCGGGACGGTCCGTCCCTGCTCAATGGCAATTTCTGTGGGAGCAGGGTTTCCGCAACGCGCCATCTTGTCGCGCGGCATTGGGCGTCGAGCTTGTGCATCAATTGCCACTGGCTGGGCGCACAGGCATGGCATAGCGTTGAGTCGGGCGTGTCTTTCTACAGGAGGAGTGTTCAAAAATAGTCCAACAAATATTCAGGGGACGATTTTTCTAGCGTTAGAAAACATATGTTTGGACTGTTCTTAATTTTTCGTCAAAAACCCCTCGCAGGGGGACATGCCCGACCTAGGCATAGATGCCTGGAGCAGCGCACGAGCCAGACTGCCTGCCCCAAGCGGGACGCAGGTGCGACCCGAGAAGCAGCAGCGCGTCTCGGAGTGACCCCTTTTGCGCGCACCAGCTGGGCAAGTGTTAAGTCGGGCATGTCCCTCTACAGGAGGAATGTTCGAGAAGAGTCAAGAACTAGTCCGGGGGCGAGTTTTCGACTATGTTCGATTGTTTGTCCCTACCCAGGCTCTGCCTAGAAGGGTTCTTACTCGCTTGGCAAACCGCAGTGCAAACCGCCCCGGGCGGTTCCCCAAGTCCCCTGGGAGCCAAGCAAAAGCAACAGCAAAGGTAAAAGCAAACGCGCGGTTCCCCCAGTTGTGCTCCCTGGGTGCCAAGCAAAAGCAAACGCAAAGGCAACAGTGAAGGCAAAAGCGAAGGCAAAGCAAAAGCATAGCATAGCCTAGCATAGCATAGCGCAGCATAGCATAGCGCAGCATAGCATAGCATAGCATAGCCTAGCCTAGCCTAGCCCAGCATAGCATTGCGCAGCATAGCATAGCAGAGCAGAGCAGAGCAGAGCATAGCATAGCATAGCATAGCGCAGCACAGCATCCACTATTGCTGCTGCTCCAACTCCTAGGTAGGGTCGCACTGGGATAATTTGATTATTCGTGATTATTTTTTCATCCTTCTTCCAAACTCCGCCTGTGGGAGGACATGCCCGACCCAAGGCAAGTGGATGTTTGGCGAGACCGCGGGGATCCTGTCATCGACCCCACTGCGTCGGCCGCCCGGTCCTCGCAGAGGTGCGCCCGTGCGTGCGGGCACCGACTGGCTTCGCGCCAGGGACGAAAGTTGCTTCGGGTTTACGACGGCGGCGACGATGACGATGACGACGACGACGACGAAGCCGATGCCGCCGACGAAGCCGACGAAGCCGAAGCCGACGCCGCCGACGACGACGACGAAGCCGATGCCGCCGCCGCCGCTGCCGACGACGACGACGACGACGACGACGACTCTGGAGTGATCTGGTGTGGGCTCGCTGGGATCCCCCCAGCACTTGCGTGCGCGCTCAGATCTGGCCTCCTGCGTCCGCGGGAAGCCTGGGTCACTCCTGCCAGGGATCACTCTCGCGAAAAGCCGAAGATCTCTGGTATCTGGCACACCAGCTTCGCGTGCTAACGTCGTTGCCTGGTCTAACCGCGCCCCCGCTCGCTCTTGGCAGCGTGCGGGATATTTGCTTGAGCCCCCGCGGTATTTATAGATCTGAGCGTTAGGGCCGGCCCTTGAGTAGAGAGGGCGGGCCCGACAGGGGAACAAGCTCGCATTTGCCACCCCCAGTGCTCGGGCTCACAGGCGGGATGCGGTGAGGTCACAAAGACAGCGAAAGCCACTCTGCTCCCATGTCCAGACTGGTAGGTTGCAGAATGTGGCCACCGATGGTAAATAGTCCCTGGAAGACGCCGATCGTTTTTTTTTACTATCGACGCGCAGGCTGCGTGCATTCGAGGAGCTACTGCAGCAGGCGCCCGTGATTTTGGCGCGCAGCTCGGCAGGCTGCCGCCATACAGAACACGATCAGCCCGCCTCCGCACGCTGATTGCTGCCGGCGCAGCTTTGCCATCCGCTCTTGGGAGCTCGGCGGGCAAACCGCGGGCATGTCGCGGGCAAGCGACGAGTCCACCAAAGCGAAGTCACCGCCGTGTGCGCTGATGGGCTTGTTTTCCACCACCACCACCATAAGTTGGAGGGGGGAAGGAGGGGGAGGCTGAGGAGGAGGAGGAGGACGAAGAGGAGGAGGAGGAGGAGGAGGAGGAGGAGGAGGGGGAGGAGGAGGAGGAGGAGCAGTACCCCCTCCCCCTCCAACTTGTGGTGGTGGTGGTGGTTGCAAACAGGGCCATCATGCGCAGCTGCTACTCAAATGTGCACTCAAGTCGTGCGGGCGGGTCACAGGCTGTCTGCGAGCGGATGTGCGAGCGGGTCGTCGTGCAGGGTGGGCAGCAGCACAACACGGCAGGACGCCCCTTGGCCGCCGCGCTTTTGGGGGGTAAGCGTAAGACCATTCGGCCCCGCTGGTTTACGGCTTTCGAAGGTCTGGGCACGGCTCGTGCCCGTGCTCGTCATGTTATCGTTGTGCGGCATTCGTTCGAGATCGTTTCCCAGTAAGTAGTCTGGATTAGACTGGCGGTGTGCCACATGATAAGGTCGGACTATTTCAGCCAGCTCGATCAGTGTTCGCGCACGAGCTCGGATGGAAAGTCCGGATAGCGCACGAAGTGTTCGGCCGCAGCCGTTTTCGCAATCTCAAGCTCCCAGCCATGTCCGCGGACGATGCAGGCGACCAGGGGAAGATCAGGTGATGACGTTGCGGAGTAGGCCGCCACTAGAACGATCCTTTCCCATAGTCGCACAGTCCAGTACCTTCCCAGACCACGTGGATGGACAAGAGCGGTAAGGGCCTAGAAATTAATGTTTTTCCATCGTTTCCCGTTGTCTATATAGTGGTAAGTACTTGAGAACCCACTTTTCAGCAAAAGGATAAACCTTCCCGCGTCGGGCAGCGTTATCCCAGCACCCGCCGTCAGCAGGATGTTGATGATGATGAGGAGGAGGAGGAGGAGGAAGATCAGGAGGGGGAGGAGGTGTCCTCCCTGTCCTCGTCTCTCCTGCTCCTCCCGCTTGAGACTCCCTTGCGACTTATGAGCATCAGGCTTTAAAAGTTGGCAACACCCTCACAGATGGAGGGCGGGTCGCTTCCAAAATGTGTCTCTTGCCTTAGCGCCGCGCACAATCGTTTCCAACACTTGAAAAAGCTTGACGAATTGAGGGCGGCTCGTTTTCAAAATGTGGCTCTCGCCTCAGCGCCGCACACATTTGGTTTTAAAAACTTTGCAAGAGCTTCGCGGATGGAGGGCGTGTCGTTCCCAAAATGTGGTTCTCGGCTTAGCGCCGCGCGCATTCTTTTTAAGCATGTGCAAGAATTTCACGGATTGAGGGCGGCTCGTTTTCAAAATGTGGTGTTCCCCGTAGCGCCGCGCTCGTTCGCTTCAACAACTGAACAAGAGCTTCACACATGGAGGGCGGGCCGTTTCCAACATGTTGTTCTCGTTTTAGCGCCGCGCGCATTCGTTTAAAAAGTGTGCAAGAGTCTCCTTGGTTCCCACGGTCCACGTACCAGAAACAGTGTGCTGCGTCGATTCAGGATCGTTACATCCCGTGGGGTGGACCGTTGAGGAATATCATTTTCTTATTGGGTTGTGCGACAGAAGTCGTAGTTAGGACGGACAGGTGAGGAGAAACAGTATCAGTATTTGTACAAAGTTTTACTACTACTTCTACTGCTCCTACGACTACGACGATGTACTATTAGTTCGTGGTTGTATCAATCCTACCATGACATCCGTGAATGTTTTTTTGTATAAAAATGTGCGCGGCGTTAACGCGAGAGCCACATTTTGAAAACAAGCCGCCCTCAACCCGTGAAACCCGTGCAATTGTTTCAAACGAATGTGCGTGGCGTTGATGCGAGATGCACATGTTGAGAGCGAGCCGCCCTCAATCCGTGAAGCTCGTGCAAATGTTCGAAACGAATGCGCGCGGCGCTAAGGCGAGAGCCACATTTTGGAAGCGACCCGCCCTCTATCTGCGATTTGTCTGTTTGCAAAGTTTTGGAAGCGAATGCGCGCGGCGCTAAGGCTAGGATAGACGCATTTTGAAAACGAACCGCTCTCAACACATGAAGCTCTTGCAAAGTGTTCATAAAAGAGTGTGCGCGGCGCTAAGGCGAGAGCCACATTTTGAAAACGAGCCGCCCTCAATCCGTGACCCTTCTTTGTCTTGCTGTTTGGCGCGGTTCTAATTCACCGTTCGGCTAAAATCTCCCCCTGGGATTTCTGAATCTTGGTGCGGTGCTACTGATAGCCCAGGGCCCCAACGGCATAAGATGATACCATCAGTTTGCATAAGATGATACCATGATACCACCGAGTACATGGGCACATAACTGAACTATCTCCATTCGACGTCTTCAAAGTAATGTGTCTGCCCGGTCTCTACAGGTCTGGGATCTTGGGCCCACCTTCTACCAGCAACGCGGCCTTCCTCGTTATCAGGATCCTTTCGTCAGGGTTGCGGCTTAGACATGGCGCATAACGGCCGCTGCCCCAGCCGAACACCTCCCCCCAGGCAATGGTAACGATCGTGTCGCAGGTGGGGGGCTTGGCCCCCCCGCCCCCCCATGCAGGTGCTGGAGGCCGTGCTTTGGCGATCGCAGCGCACCCCCGCCCCGACATGCCCCGCCCCGCCCAAGCTACCGTTACCCACGCCCCGCCGCACACATCCACACATTCACACATTCACACTCACGCACACACACGCACACCCACACCCTGGTAACGACCATGATCTGAGATACCAAAAATCAGAAACCGGTCCCCACCATCATAATGTCCTCGGCAATCGTTGTACTTGTTTTCCAAGTTGCTCGTGAGACTGAGACTGGCTGGTATAGCTGGCATCATCGGTGGCATTGTCATTTACAAGTCCCAAATATGTGATACACGCACACCCACATACACGGAAAGTGATTTTCAGGCTCTACTCCCGTGTTCATGTCTCTCGGAGCTTTCGCGTCGCACGCACGGCTGCACGAGCAGGTCTGAACAACCGCAGCGAATGCGAAGACGAGCCGGCACGCGCGCGAGCATTCGAAACCGATCGGGTGTGATTGCGAGCGAAAGTAGGTGACCACCCGCAGTATTGCTATTCCGGTCGAGGAGCAGCCGCAGGTGCTTGCCCGAAGACCGAATTGCCTGACTATCTCCGTCCCCCGCTCCGAGTACAGCAGAAGGTAGACACATCGAAGTGCGAATAATGTTGGAACGCGGCGTAATTGAGAACACATATATTTTATTCCCGGTGCGCCTCATAAGTACTAGCATGTTTTTGCAATACAGCGTCGACCGTCGCTGTCACGAAGCCCTTTGCGTGAGCCATGCGAAGTCGTTTGTCCCGACGTGCTGTCACACACGGGTATGCAACACATTATAAGAGCAGTCCGCCTAGGATCGTATTCCAAACGTGTTAGTGTTTCCGATTCGTTGTGAAAGCAGCTGCGAAACGGACACATTGTTGTGATAGTTGTGGAGAACATGACAGCGTAACAATAGGAATAACGGGTTGGTGCCGATCTTGATATGTTGTAAGGTTTCGGAACGATCCAGCTCAGTTCTTGGAGCTCCAGATAAAATTCGTCTCAACATCGTTCAAGCAAGGAGCGGGGCCCAGAAGCTTGGTAGTTTCTGCGCCGCTCTGGGCACAACCAGTCAGACTGGCGGAGGATCTTTTACGAGCGGGCATGGCGAGCACGCTCGAGCACATGGGAACGTGCCCGGTGTTGCAGTTCGTAGCTATGTAAACAAACTTGTGCTGCACTCTCTCGCCTCCCCGCCAATCATGCCCAGAAGTGGGTAAAATGGAACGCGTGCCTGAGCACGACTTGTGCCAGGCGGTCGGACAGCTTCGGGCGGCCGCATAGTTATTCCCCTGGGGCAGCGGAACGAAGCCGAAAGATTACACCAGCGCCCCCGTTCACAGCATCCGTTTCTTGTCAGGGAGCAGGGGGGCGTTGCTTCATCCCTGCGTGCGCTCTCCTTCGCAGGATGACATCCCAGGGCAAACGCTTGGGACCAACGATGGGGACGAACGTTCGGGACCAAGGCTCAGGCCCCGCTCATGCGCAACTCAGGTGCTCAGGTAGCCTCCTTCTCCCGCCCCCCCTCTGCCCCCTCCGACAATCTGACGTGAAGAAGCACGACGTGGCTCCCCGGCGCCGGAGTCGCTGCCATGGGGGCCCAGCGCCGGTCAAAGAAACCCACGCTGGGTTCCTAAAGTTTAGGTGTACAGTCGGGGCGCTGAAGAAGGAACCCTTTTCGTTGGAGAGGGGCTCCGCGTTCCTTAAGTGTTTCACAGCTTGCCTCAGGCTTTCCTTATGTCTTCGACAGGAAATCGAAGGTTAACTTATGGAAAATAGGGGCCTCGTTCCTTATTTAGGGCTCCTTAGGTCAACGCCTCGACTGTATGCAGTTGTTTGGTCTGCGAGTGGTGAACATCTCGGCCAGGACACCCGACTCGATGCTGGCACGCGGCTGCTCGAAGTAGATCGATCCGTGGGGCCGCCCAGGGGACCGAACATGGGGCAGCAGCGCACGTCGTGCTTTGCTTGCCCACGACGCGGAGATGTCAGGTCCCCTCCCCCCCTTGCTTCTCAGAGAAGGGAAAGGTGCCCATACCTGTACCCCCTCGCCCGTGTTCCCCTCTTTGAGCCTCCTGGGAGGCCCGCGTCGCCACTTCTGGATTCGCCTCGAAATCTTAATCAGAACGCACCCAGGGAGAGGTCCGGGTTTGGTTTCCCTGTTCTTCGGTACGGTGGAAATGGATACGGAAGGATTGGGGACGAAGACAGACAGCAGTTCTTGTTCCTTCTGGATGGGGCTCGATGTTGGTGTAGCCGCAGACGTCTTCCATTTGAGACAGAAGGCCGCCTGCCCAACAGCGGCCGCTGTCGGCGTTGGACAAATTTTGCTGTAGGGCATCGTGCCCGTTTGTTCCGTATTCATTCCGGGCGTCCAAATTTCTTTTTTCTTTTTTTCTGTTTTTTGGTGTCGACCCCGGGGGCCCCGCACGAGGTGAGCAGGCCAAGTCCTCCGAGGCAAAGGACGACGAGAAGGACACCAAGGACAAGGATGGCGACGGTGCCGCGAAGGAGAACGGGGCCACGGAAAAGGCTTCTCTTCTGCCCGCTTCTCTGACGTCGGAGGGCAAGCGCCAGCAGGAGGCGGATTGAGGAGGGAGAGAGGAGGGGCAGCGGGAGGAGGGAGAGGGGGAGGTGGAGGTGGAGTCTGAGGCGAGGGAGGAGTGATAGAAGGAGCGGGAAGAGGCAGAGGAGGAGTCGAGGAGAAAGAAGAAGAGGCAGAGCCTTCCTCTCCTTCCATTGTCATCCTCTCCCTTCTCCTTGCTACCACCATCATCATCATCACCATCACCACCACCATCACCGTTATCGTCATCGTCATTGTCATCGCCGTCGTCGTCATCATTATCAGTTCGACGGCGGCCGCCCGTCGTCGAGACCCTGCTGCTGCCGTCCGCCCAGGACGCGGTACCTGGGCTTTCACGGGCGCGAGCCACCTCCACAGCTGAGGTTGGGGGACGGGGTCGCCCTTCGTCCAGGGTGGGTGGGGGGGGCGGGGGTTCCGCGTGACAGTGTCCTTCGTGGGGGCCCTGGGTTGAGGGGGGTCCTCAGCTATGTGTGGGGAATCGCTGGCCGAATTAACTCTTGCTATGGTGGCTTGTCACTATCATCACCACCACCATCTTCACCATCACCATCAGCAACATCCTTATCATAATCACCGCCCTCGTCGTCTTCTGCCTTCTCCTCGGCCTACTTTTCCTCCTCGACCTCCTCGATCTCATCCTCAGAGTCATTGACCTTCTCGGCCGCCTCTTTTGGCATGCGGTGGGGGACGGGGAAACGTCTCTGAAAGGGCGATGCTGTCCGACTTTTCCAGGCGGCAGGACGTCGTGACATAGCCACGAAGAGCGATCATGATCCGTCGCGGGCCCCCTGGACCCTCACAAGTCCGTTTTGGTTCGAAAGATCGTGCATAGAAGCGTTGTCGAGAGTTTTGGCCAAGCTTTTTCACAACGTCGTGCCCCCCACTCACTCACGACGTCGAATGACTGATGACCCTGGGTTGGTTCATATTTGAATGCTCGGGCATCGTCAGGAGGGCATGGGAACCGCTGGAATCCGTTCGAGCCCCCCCCCCCCCCTCGCTGATCGGTGCTGCAGATGCACCTCGAGAGGCCGCACACACGGTTCAGGTCTGATTGCTCCTCGGTAGCCTGGACTTCCAGGGAGTTCGATCCTTCTCACTCCCTCCCCCCCCTCTCCCCTCCCGTTCGCCCGTCCTCTCTCCGAGGGGCTTGCCCTGAGGATAGCTGCAGTGAGCCCTCTCAGGCTCCCCTCCCCTCACGGGGGTAGGTGCAGGGAGCCCTGCCGTCCTCCCTCTCCCGCCCCCGCTCTCGCATGAGGCCGGGTGCACGCACGGAGAGCCCTCCCCCCAAGCTCCCCCTTCCGCTTGCCCCCCCCTGCTGATGCAGGGAGCCCCCTGCCTCCTCCTCACCGAGTCTGCTCCTCCGCGCCTCCTCTGCCCCACCTCGCCCTCGCCCTCGCCCTCGCCCTCGCCCTCCCCCCCCCCCCGAAACACACACGCACACCCCGGGGCCCCGCGCGCTGCGGAACGTGAAGTCGCCGAGCGCCCGTGGGGGACGCCCAGACCCCAGAGCCCAAGCTCCGAGTGCGGCGGGAGAGTCGGGATCTCTGTGCTGAGCTCAGTCGTGCGGCTGCTTCGGGGCTTTCTTTTGGGGGCCATGGCACCCTCGGCTCGGCATTATATTGCGTTCTCCTCCCTCCCACTCCACCTCTCCGGGATGGAAGCGCAGCGCTGATCCAATCATGTGGCAATGACAGGATGATCAAGCACCAATTTTAGATATTCATGCTATTTTCCCTTGCAGTCGGCTGGAGTGTATTCGATTCGTTTGCACACCGTCTGCTGCTAGCGACTCCGTGCAATGCAGGCGCATTAGACTTTCACCAGAATGTCAACGGACAGTCCCTCTCCACCCCCACCCACCCGCCGCCCTCCTGCCCGGAATCGCCGACGCTCTGCGAGGACCCCGCCTCCTTGCACGCTGCCCTCGTGGCCAAATCCGACCGCCACTCGGACGGGGCTAGGACGAGGATGAATCCGTCCCAGAGCGTTCCGGAACGTTCTCAGAACGTTCTCAAAGCGTACTGGAACGCTCTGAGAAGGACGCGGCGCCCGAGAGTTCTTTCAAAGCCGCCAGATCTCAGAGATCCTCGATTGATCCTCACCCGATGGTATCCTCGTCCTGGCTTCGCTACCTGCGCAGCTGCTACCGCCGCCGCCGCCGCCGCCTCGCCGGCGCGGCCCTTCGATGGCCGAGCCCCCCCCCCCACCCCGCGTGTGGAGGCCAAGGCGGGCACCGACAAGGCCGAGAAGGTAGACAGGAAGCGCAGGAGCCGCAGCAAGAGCGGGAGCCGCAGCCGCTCCAAGGGCTCCGGGGGCGGCCGCGCCCGCTCCAAGGGCGGGCGCAGCCGCTCCAAGCGCGACCGGAGCCGCTCCAAGGGGGGCCGCGGCCGCTCCCAGGGAGGCCGCAGCCGCTCCAAGGGGGGCCGCAGCAAGTCCAGAGGGGGGCGCAGCAGGTCCAAAGGTCCGGGCCTCCCAGCCGGGGTCCTGCGCAGCTGGGGTCGGAGGGTCGCGCCGCGCCGCCGCTGCCCCGGCGACGCGCCGCCGACGTGGGGCCCCTCTCTCTCCACGCCGGCGGCGCAGCTGCCTCTCCGCGGTCTCCGAGGCAGCGGCGGCTTCGGCGCGGCGCTCCGACCCCCGCCTGCTCGGCACCGCTCTGGGGGGCCCTGGCGCCAGGGGGGCGCAGCAAGTCCAAGGGCGGCAGGAGCCGCTCCAAGGGGGGCCGCAGCCGCTCGAGGGGCGGCCGGAGCCGCTCCAAGGGCGGGCGCAGCCGCTCCCGGGGCGGCCGGAGCCGCAGCCGCTCGGACACCGGGGGCGGCCCTGCGGGCTCCCTCCTCCTCCTCCTCCTCCTCCTCCTCCTCCTCCTCCTCCTCCTCCTCTTCCTCCTCCTCCTCTTCCTCCTCCTGGGGATCCTGGGGTGGGCCAAGCGGCGCGCCGAGGGCGGAGAGAGCACGCGCAGAGGCGTCCGAATAGTTGGCCGTGGCCTCGCGGGCGCGCGGCGCCTCGGCGCCGCGGCCCCGCGGGCGCGGGCCGCCTTCTGGTCGCGGAGGCCCCGCGCGGAGCGCCGGCCGTGCGGCCGCGTGTCCGCGGGAGAGCGCGCCCCGGAATCCAGGCCACGGGCGCGCGGGCATCGGTGCTGTCGTTGCCTCTTCTCCTTTATCGTTTTCTTCTCCCTCCCCCTCCAATCCCCCATCCCGCCATCACATTTGATCGTCTCCAATCGTATCGGGAGCTCCCGTGGCAGAAGAGCACCCAGAACGAGCCCCTCCGTGACAGAGGGGGGCCATCTTAGGGCCCCTCTGTGACAGAGGGGGGGCCAAAAAACAAATGATCACTTTAATGCGGTTTTTGGGTTCGGCCTCCTGGATGGGGTCCGAGCAGGCGGGGTCGGAGGATCGCGCCGCATCGTCGATGCATCGGCGATGTGGCTCGATGTGGAACCCGATTTTCGCCGCGCGGGCGTCGTCGATGCATCGCCGATGTATCGCCGGTGCATCGCTGATGCATCGGCGATGTATCGCCGATGTGCCGGCGATGCTGCGCGACCCTCCGACTCCATCCATTCCGACCTCATCTAGGAGGCCTCTAGATGCGTCAGCCGCACGTGAGCACGGGGGGAGGTTCGAGGAGAGCGGCCGATGGACAGAACCCTGCTCCGCACGCGCGGCCAGGGTGCCAGCGCAGACTTCAGCGCGCCCCCCTCCAGGCAGAACAAGCAACCACAACCGCTGCTGAGTGGGTTTTCTGGAGGGCACCTCGGGGAAGAACCCATCGACCTCGACATGAACATGTTGGTAGCGATTGTGTTTGATCTGGCCGTCCTGGGACGCCACATCGACCACGACCACAACCTAGCTAGTTCGGTGCTCTAACGATTGTTTCAGAAAGGTAAATATCGGCTTGGGAGGAGCAGGTTTGGGCGCAAGTATCAAGTCATGCGTGTTTCCGCATATGTTGAAGGTGCTTAGCACACAGTCGCAAGCATCATCATTGGCCGTCGCATCCTCCAAACCCTCTGGAGCTTGAGCTTCCCGCCGATTGCGGTGGCACTCCTGTTCGAACTTACTTCGGCTGCTCGCTTTCATCTGGCTGGAAATGGAAACGATGTTCTCGCTCATCGCACTCACGCAGTTCCTCCTGATGGGCCCTGCTCTGCGCATCACGGACCCTGGTCTGCGCATCGCGGGCTGGGCCAGCACAGTCTGTAATCACCTGTGGGGTCCGCTTGGCAGCGGTGCTACGCCGGTGGTGCCGACGTTTTTCATGCTGACGTCGTAGCGCGACCCAGGAAGAGCGGGAGTGGACCAACGCAGTGATTCCGTATCACGAGTAGGACGCGATACTGTGAGCGGCTTGAATAAGGAACCGTTACTTTTGAAAAGGGGCTCGGTCCTTTCTTAGGCTTTCATGCGTTTTTTTATCGTTCCCTGTGCGTTATGTATTGTTTGTTCATCGTTCCCTATGCGTTAACCCTTGGGAGAAAGGGGTTTCGTTCCTTATTTACCGTTCCTTCGGTCAGGCCGATGACTGTACGGAAGTCATGATTTCTTTCGTATCAGGAGCGGATGGCAATGAGGAGTTCGCCGCAGCCCCGCAATCTCCCGAAACCTGTATCAGCACGAGGAAAAATCATGGGCGACGTCCGTACCATCAGCGGATCGCAATACGCAGCCCGATGCGGAGTGCATCGTTCACGGGGCAATTGCTGGACCCCCCGACATTGCTCATGCTGTTTGCCCATCTCCAGTGCTCGTCGCGTCGTTTCAGAACCTGATATGCACCCTTACACGATTATTAAGAAAACGCAGCTTCGTAGCCAGGGTTTCGAGTTTGCTCAGCATACTTAGACACATCTGGAGCCCAGCGTAGGCTTCATACATTTCCTCCATATAGAAGCTATATGTTGAAGACGAAGAGCTATGTTTCAAAATGTTTGAGCAGCGTTGCTTAAAACAATGTGAGGTCTTATTATTTGGCTTCTCTGCTGCATTAGAAGACTCGGGCTTGAACCACAACGCTGTTCAAACGTACCCCAATACCTCGTCTAAAACAAAGCACTCAAAACTAAGATGAAACTCTGTAAATTCAAATGATCTCCCACATGAGAACAGTCGATAACATCGAGTTCATATATGGTATTTGTTTTTGTCCTGGAGCCCAGGGTGCCTGTAGATTGCCAGACCCAGACCCCGGGTTCAGACAACGGAGTTTCCAGAGATTGGCTTCTTAGGCTCAAATTATTTCAAGTAAAATTCCTCGTGTGGTCCAATATGGCTCCGACAGGGCTCAAAACACATACGAGATGGCTTTCAGACGCCCCCCCGAAGCCCTCGACAGGGTTCCAAGAGGGCCACGGAGTAGGCTGCAGGATGCAATCTGCTTCTTAGGAAGATCGCAGGGGTCCCAAATGGCCCCAAGATGGCACGAAGCAGGCTGCAATTTGAAATCCGCTTCTTGGGGAGCCTGCGCGGTATTGAATTGGGGACCCATGCGCTGCGGCGGCAACACGTTACCCCTCCGCTAGACGCAGGCGACCGAAGGCACCGTTCATTGCATCCGAATGCTAGTGCTCATACCGTGCATCTTCTCAACCCTTTATTCCCAACGCGACAGTTGTATGTTTCATTGTTGGTGTTCGCAAGACATCTATGAAATGTGGCCAGGAGGCTTCAGACCCTGGGGGATTCCTATCTGATGAGGGCGGTGGTGATATCCATGGCCACTTCACGATAGGGGTTCCACTAGTTTCCAGACTTTGGAATCCTTATCCAAGAGTTCCGTAATTAGCCGATATCCTCGCCGTACGGTTTATGGACAAAACCCAACCCAATCGCCCATTGTATTGATCGCCGATAGGGGTCCGATAGCCCAACCCCGCCCAGGAACGTGGGGATTTGGTGTCGGGAGCCAATCGCTGATTTATCGGCGATGTCCCGTTGATTCCAGGAAGATGTGCCCCCCGCCAGAGCCAGTCCCCCAATGTCATTAGTGGTTCGTGTAAACAGCATGGCATTGTTTTGCTACAATATGCCGTTTTGTGCAGGTTCTGGCTCCGTTTTTGGTTTCGGTTCCGTCGCCGTTTTTTGTTATGGTTCCGTATTCGGTTCCAATCCCAGAGCAGTATGTTTTGTTTGGAGCGTATTTGTTATGCCGTCTTCAGTCTCAAGTTCAAGTTTTTTGGGACGTCCAAGATTGTGGGAATATGTTAAATCACTAAATTGCCGTTTCCAAGAGCCACCAAGCCCCTGTCGTTAGGGGGGGTCACATTCGGGGGGGGGGGTCTAATTTGAGCTGTCTTGGAGGGTTCGGGGGGGTCTGGGCAAAGGGCCGCCCTTTAATGGATGGTCTGGGGGGGTCTAAAACTTGTGGTCTGGGAGGATTGTGACCCCCTCCCTTTTATGGCGAAATCTGGAGTAACCCTCATGATTGGCATCGCCAGCGGGGCGCATGCTTTCGGCCAGTCGACAGGTCGACACATCGCGGCGCAGCCCGCCCGGACTAAAGTGGTGTTCAGAAAGATCAGCATGGTCCTATGTCTTTCATTTCGTTTTGTGTATTCCATGGGACAGTTGTTGACGACCTCACCGCCAAATAGAAGAATGCGAGAAGTAGTTTTTCGCATACGAGCGATTATTCTGACAGACCCTGTCCATATCTCTATGGCACACCGAGGACATTCAGTGGAGCACCATAGGTGCCGTTGCCAAAATATAGGTCACCAGTGTTAGCATGTTTACCCAGGGTAGGTTGATGCGGCACCGTCGCCAAAAACAAGGTTGCGGCGATAAGGAAGTTGACAGCAAGAGTTGCAGTATTTGGCCCATGTGCATCAAGAGGAGCGAGCTCCGAAGATCGAGGGTCTAATCTTCCTTTGTGCTTGATCCTCTTTGGACCTCTAGGGGCCCCCAGGGGGACCCCTCTAGGGGGACCTCTGGGGACTTCCAGGACAGCCCGAGGCCTCCGAGGACGCCCGTCGACGCGGCGGCGGCTGCGGCGCGGGCGCCCAAGGTGGAAGGCCACCCGCCGCCGGAGCCATGCCAACCTCGGCGACCTCCGTCATCGGGTGGCGGATAGTGGATATCGTTCAATGCTTACCAGTCCAAGCTAAGCTCTCCTCCTCTTCCTCCTCCTCCTCCTCCTCTCCTCCTCCTCCTCTCCTCCTCCTCCCTCCTCCTTCCTCCTCCTCCCCCCCCCCTCCTCCTCCTCCTCCTCCCTCCTCCTCCTCCTCCTCCTCCTCCTCCCTCCTCCTCCCTCCTCCTCCCTCCTCCTCCCTCCCAGGCGATCGCAAGCATGGATCAAGGGGGCGTGGATTAGCGACGGGTCCCGTTTCCATGGGAAATCGCGGACTTCCGCCGCCGAGCGTGGCGGCACCGGCCGCATTCTGGGGAGGGCCCCCCCCCCCGATCCATGGATTTGGCGACCGCGCGCCAAGTCCATGGATCGCTAATCCATGTTTGCGCGTCCCCGTTAAACGAGGGGTCAGAGACCAATTCTCATGGCGCCAACATCGCAGAGCGGATTTCGTTCGGAAAACGATGTGGCGGGCCCGGGGTGTCCTGGAGAATCTCGTTCCGGATTTCGGGGTGAAGTTCGTGCGACTTCTTTGTGGGCCAGGACTGCAGACCAAACAAATCCACGCGAAATTCATGTTGTTTTTTCGCTCGCCGCTTCGGGAAAAAATCCGCGCAGAAATCAATGCAAAAATCTGCTGCAGCACGTCTGCAAGGCCGGTGCAATGACAATTCCCACGTCGACACGACGGGAGCCAGCCGTGTGGAGCCTCGCAGCACGCTCTCCGAACTTCGTCGGGGCCTTTCGGAAGCAGGGGCGGGCCACCCGTCGCGATACTTCAGCTCGAGCCTTTTCTTTTATTCTGGGCCGATGACGGCCATCATCTGGGGGGGGGGGCCGATGACCCAGGAATGGCCGAGGACGTGTAGCAGCAGCATGTAGGTCGCGATTTGCACCACAGCGCTTGTGCACACCACTGCTCGCGTGCACCACAGCGCGCGTGCAGACCACAGCACCTGCGTACACCGCAACAGCCGTGTGCAACGCAACGCTTGTGTACACCACACTGCTTGCGTGCACCACGGCGCCCGTGTACACCACAGCGAATGTGTACACCGCAGCAGCAATCATGTGCAACACAGCGCTTTTGTACACAACAATGCTTGCGTGCACCGCAGAGCCTGTGCACAGCAAGGCGCCTGTGTACACCACAGCATCCGCGTGCAACGCAGCGCTGGTGTACACCACAGTGCCTGCATGCACGGGACAGCCGCAGGCTTCGGCGGCAATTTTCAGCGCACGGCCCCCGCCCCCCCCCCAGGAAGCAGGAGGGCCTCCTGCCTCACGGCCCCCTAGGGCGTCCACAGGGCCCCGTGCCTCACGGCCCCAAAGGGCGCCCATGGGGCCCCATGCCTCACAGCCCCATTTTCGGAGTGCTCAGCCACGGCGTGAGCACACACACCCGCGGACGCCGCATCCTGGCCCGTGCGGTCTGATCCGTGGCCCGACGCCGTGGCGTCGGCCGCAGAAACGATCCGTGCACTTTTGGGAGGATCATCTAGCAACAACAAACGAAAACGAAACATGCACGGGGAATGGACGCGCGGGACGCGGCACGCGCGAGACATCCTCGGAATTCCTGCGAGCGGGACGTGAAAACAAGCATTTCGCCGGAGACATCCTCTCCATTCTGCCGCGTGGCGCGCGCACCCCGCGCCGTGTCGTGCCCACGCCTCGGGGCGGAAGATCGCTCGTCTCGTGCCGCGGCGCGTGCGCACGCGCCCGCGGACTTCGGCGGGCACCTTCCGCGCGCGGCCCCCGCAGCCCCCCACCGGGGCGGAGGACGAGGAGGAGGAGGAGGAGGAGGAGGAGGAGGAGGTGGAGGAGGAGGAGGGGGAGGAGGAGGAGGAGAACGAGGAGGAAGAGGAGGAGGAGGAGGAGGAGGAGGGCAGGGGGGAGGCCCGGGCGCGCGCCCTCCGCCCCCCCCCCCCCCCCCCCCCGCGGGGTGCCGGGCCCGCTCTCTCCCCGCCTCCCTGCCCCGAGCACTTTCTCGGCGGAGAAAGGCGAGCCGTGCCCTCGCCGAGCCACTATGCGGGCAACTCGAGGGGCGGCGGGGGTGTACAGCACTTGGCCAACATATTCGAACCCTCACACACACGCACACACACACACACACGCACACACACACACACACACACACTTGAGGGGGATGCTCATCACCCCCCGCAGCCCCCGAAGTCCATGCCGATTTTAGCATGGGTGATGGTTTGGGGGTTCGAATAGATTTGTCCACCCAGATCCTCTCCAGTGCCGCACCCTCAGTACGAATTTTTGGGGGGTCCCAGAGGGGGGGGGGAACTTGTGCTGCAGGGTTCGAGCTTATTGTCCATGTGCGGTGGGGCTCGGAATTCGTCGGGCTCGTGGCGAAATCCGAAACTTACCCCCGCCTCCCATCGACTCTAGCGAATCGATGGTTGGTGAGGGCAGGGCCCGGATGCCGCAACCTGATCGGGTCTCGGACTTTTCGGTGGCCCACCACCGCTGGCTCGCTTCCTGCGCTCCCCGAGCACCCCTCGGCGGACTCCTCGGCTGCCCCCCGGGTGTGCTCGACCCCGGGCCCCCCCACGGAGGACAGCCGCAGCCGCAGCCGCAGCCGGGGCCGACGGGGGCGAGATCGCAGAGGCCGCGGGGCGGGTGCCGCGGGAAGGGAGGCCTATCCCCTGGATGCTCTGCGAGCTCCTGCGCCGGCACTTGCCCGAGGCCCGAGCGAGAGGACCGCTGGAGCACTGCGGTGCGCCCACGGTCGCTTTGCGCTCGCGCTGTGGCGCAGCAGCGGTCTCACGAGCGCCAGCTCATCCCACGCTGACGGCGGAAGGAAGCCCAAGGGGTCGGGACCAAGGGCAGCAACCGCAGGGGGGATTGGCTCAGGAGGGGCCAGAAGAAACATCACCCCCCCTTCGCATGTTCATCTCCGAGGGGGACCTGGGGGGGCCACACCGCCCAGGAACATGCGGTGTCGCGATCGAGGGCCCTTCTCGCCGATCTATCTTTGATGTATCGCCGATTCCAGGCCGATGCTTCCCTCTGAGCCAACCACCCCCAGCCGTTCCCCTTCACAGGGAGGGCCCAGGAGGCCCGGGCGGCTCCAGGAGTGCCCACAGGAAGTCCCCTGGAGGCCACGGGGGGACCACTGGCGGCCCAAAAAAGCTCCAGAAGGGCCGAGGCGGCCCCAGAAGGACCATCCGTTTGGTGTTACGTCGGGCACGTCCCCCTACAGGAGGAAAATTCAAACTAGCCAAGACATGCTCATGGGACGATTTGTTTAGTCTTTTTTGGTTATGTTTGAATATGTTTAGGGTACTTTGAATTTTCGTCCAAAATCCCCCTGTATGAGGACATGCCCGACCTAAGTTTGGTGGCCCGAGGGAGCAGAGAGCACGAGTTTCAACGCCACATCCGCCAGACAGGGATCGACGAAAAGGGGAATGCCCTGCTACAGAGCCGAACATGAGAATATGAGGACGCGGGCGAGGGGGAAAGGAGGATGACGGAATGGCGACAGCAAACAGCTTGCCAGGACAGCTCTCCTGTTGCTGTCAGGCCTGTCCAAGCCTTCCATGTCAAGACTCGCAGGGGAGCGACGAGACGCGGAGGCGAGGGCTCTCGCTCCCCCTCTTTTGCAGCGGGGCCCGACGTGTCCACGTCGCCCTTCCGAGCCGAGGAGCCCGGTGCACAGCATGCGCCCCAGCGCCCCGCGGCTTCGGGAGCAGAGGCCCCTGCGCTCCTAGGCCAACCAGACAACCCGATTTCGATGCCAACCCCTGATTTGTTTGTTCGATTGCGATGCCGATTTCGAAACAAGCAGATTTCGGTTTCGATCTGGACAGCCCAACTTCCCAGACATCCGGCGTCTCGATTTTTCCGAGACGCGGGCCCCCGACCTCTCGACCGCTTCCCCGGGACCGTCTTCTCGGTCCGAGTCGCTCTGTGACGCCCCGAGGCCCGGGAAGGGCCCCGAGAGGTCGGCAACGATCAAAAACCTCCGCCTCGATGTTGTTCGAGACGCCAGACGTCTGGGGTCCCCCCTTCTTTCGCTGCCCCCCCCCCCGCCTCTACCCCTCGTTGGCCCAGGCGGGCCTCTCCGAGAGGCCGTCGCTGCCCCGCACCCCCTCCTGCCCCCACTCGACGGGGGCGGCGGCCGACGCCCTGCTGCGAGCCTTCTCTTCGTCCTCGCAGGGCCCTTCTGCTCCCCGCTGGCCCCAGGGAGATGTGGGTGGCAGTGCGTGCGGTGCCCCTCGGAGAGAAACCACGGCGTGAACCTAAGCTGCTGGAGGTTCGTGCGGATGTCTTGCACCTGCGCTGGGCCCGGCGCCTCCGGCGACGCCCCTGGCGCGCTCCGCGCGCCAGGGGGAGGGGTCCAGCGCGGATCCAAGACATCCGCGCGGACCGGCGAAAGCTTATGCTTCTGCCGCTCGTGGTTCCTCGATGCAAGAATGCCCCTGCTCCCGCTCTCGATCCCACGGAGTGCCGTGCCGAAGACCGGCCTCCCAGCTTTGGCAAGGGTTCCCGCCTCTCGCGGACGCCCGCGATCTCAAATGGCATACAGTCGAGGCGCTGAAGAAGGAACCCTTTTCGTTGGGGAGGGGCTCGGTGTTCCTTGATTGTTTCACAGCTTGCCCAATGTTGTCCTTATGTTTTCGATGGGAAATCGAAGTTTACCTTGGGGAAAAAAGGGGCCTCGTTCCTTATTTAGGGTTCCTTAGGTCAAGACCCTCACTGTAAGCCCGGGGCCCCTGCTGGAGGGCTTGCGCTGCTCTGCCGGCGAGGCTCCCAGCGTTCCAGCAGCCAGCCGAGTGGTCTCGGAGCGCTCCGTGGCCGGCATCACGGCATGCGCCGACCGGCAGTCTCAGAGGAGTCCACCGAGCGCCCGTGTTTCTTCAAGGGGCTCCACGCGAAGAGCTGCAAGAGCGCGAAGGTAATCGGCCAGTGGCCTCCTCCTCCTCCTCCTCCTCCTCTTCCTCCTCTTCCTCCTCTTCCTCCTCCTCCTCTTCCTCCTCCTCCTCTTCCTCCTCCTCCTCCTCTTCCTCTTCCTCCTCCTCTGTGCTCGGCTTCTCGCTGGTCCAGTCTGGTCTCTTTGCCCGGGGTGCGGGTGCCCGGTCGTGCGAGCGGCCCTGTGGGTCGATCCCACGCGTGCAGGAAGGTGCGCGCGCAGCCGTCGCGGATCACAGGTCCTATAGGGCTTGGGGGCCCCAGCGCAGCAGAGGGAGGAAAGAGCTCCGCCAAGGCCCTCGTCCGCGGTAAGCCTTTAGGGGTGGGGCCCAGATGGCCAGCGTCCACGACAACGACAACGCCGACGACGACCTTCGACGGCGGTGACAACGACTGACGCCTTGAGATTTGACGACGATGACCGACGACGGCGGCGGCGACGATGACCGACGACAACGACGACGACGACGACGACGGCGACCGACGACGAACACGACGACGACGACGACGGCAACGACGACCAAGACGACGACGACGACGACGACGACGACCGACGACCGGCGACCCACGACCAGCGACCGGCGACCGGTGACGGGCGGCCGTGGCTCCTCCCCGCCCGAGGCGGCGGCCGCCGGGACCGCGACGACCGCGACGACCGCGGCCGCGGCCGCCGCGGCCGGCGGCGCGGCGGCGGGGGCGGCGGCCGCCGCGGGGACAGGCGCGTCCGGCGCGCGGGGCGGGGCTCCGCGCCTTCGGTGCGTGCATGACTGGTGTCCATATCCACTGCAGCTGAGAGTCCGAGGCGCAGTGGGTATGGATGAGAATTTGGTCCCTAGAGGCTCGATTTGCATCCATGGTTATCCGGTGCGCGTCGGCCTTGCGACGCCCCTTCTAATAAAATCTCAGACGCACTCACTGGGTGGGGATGAAGTTATTGCCCGCACTCTGGAGAGCGCCTCTCGGCTCAGGGGTGGCCAAGCCGACCCCTATCAAGCCATCCCCTTCCGTGTTGTCCCCGCTGCCTCACCCCAAGACGTACGCCTGCGGCCAGAGGGAGGCTCGGAAGGCGAGGAGGGCGTCACAGCAGGTGCTCGTCACAGTAGGGGTCGGTCAGGCCGCGCCCGATAAGTTTCCCAGATGGAGTCCGAGTAGACGAGGTCGGAGGATCGCGCCGCATCGGCGATGCATCGGCGATGAGGCTCGATGTAGCGCCCGTTTCTCTCCACGCCGTCAGCGCCGATGCACCGCCGGCGTCACCTATGCATCGCCGATACATCGGCGATGCAGCGCGATGCTCCGACCCAATACATTCGGATCCCATCTTGGAGGCCGCCACCAAAGGCTTTGCATCGCTCGGACGTGTGCACTTTTTCCGGCGAGTCCAACGCTAGAAAATCTGAACCATTTTGGACAATCATCTTGAGAGAAACAGACAGGATTGCGAGCAGCGCCGGCGTGGAGGATGTATGCCCGCGAGCAGATGTGTTTCTAAACGCGATATCTTCAACCATACGTTTTTGCAACCGTCCGAATTTTTCGGTTAGGATGCAATGTTTGGGAGGTTCGATTCAGCATCGGCGCTGGTAGATCCGTGGTCCTGAACCGGCCTAGCGCGGCACAGTCCAGCTTTATTATGTTCAGTCCCGTGGAATTCCGTTTCGTCCAGCTCAAGACCAGACTGATCTGGGCTGATCGGGCTTTATGGCCCCTTCATCGGGCTTGAGAGCGTTTTCATCCGCTGGCGATGCGGTAGGTTCATGCGGCGTTGGTCCGCTGTCGGCGCCGGAAAAGGCGTTCCAGGTGGAATCCTGCGGCGCGGAAGCACCGAGGGACACGGCAACGCCGTTGGACCCGACGGGATTCAGCATTCAACAGTCGGGGCCGCGATCGACTCAAGGTTGAACGATCGACGCGGTGTCAAAAACCTTTGCGCGCGCCGACGCCGCACGAGCTCACCGTGACGGGCGTGACCGTCTGGAGTTGCCTCCTAACCTTCGGCGCTGTGGCTGCGAAGGCCGCCCCTTGGCGGGTGGCCGCCACGGCCGCGCCGCGCCGGGCCCGCAGGGAGCCGGGGGCGGTCCCCCCCCCTCTTGGACGCCCCCTCCTTCATCCTTCCCCTTCCTCTCGCCCTCTTCTCCTCGCCCTCGTTTCCCCCCTTCTCCTCCTCCTCCTCCTCCTCCTCCTTCTCCTCCTCCTCCTCCTCCTCCTCCTCCTCCTCCTCCCCCTCCTCCTCCTCCTCCTCTCTGCTCCTCCTCCTCCCCCTCCTCCTCCTTCCTCCTCTCCTCCTCCTCCTCCTCCTCCCTCCTCCTCCTCCTCCTCCTCCTCCTCCTCCTTCCTCCTCCTCCCCCTCCTCCTCCTCCTCCTCCTCCTCCTCCTCCTCCTCCTCTTTCTCCCCCTCCTCTGCCTCCTACTCCTTCTCCTGGACGCCCCCCTCTTGGAAGCCTCCCTGCGTAGATCCCTCCGAACTCCTCGGCGCCGAGTCCGCAGAGGCCGCGCCATGGCGAGCGGCCGCCAAGACCGCGCCGCGATCCGAGCCCGCAGCGGGCAGGGGGCGGGCCCTCGGAGGAGGGCGGATCGGCGGCCCTCCCCTGGCTCGTGCGCCCTTTTCGCGCCCGTCCTCCTCCTCCTCCTCCTCCTCCTGCCTCCTCCTCTTCCTCCTCCTCCTCCTCTCATCTCTCCTCCTCCTCCTCCTC